GGGACAGTCCATTTCATTTTAACTGGTTAGAATGCTTTTAAAATAAAACATTTAAGAGACTTAAACTCATATGATCACTGGCTGATTTGCAGCAAACTCTGTCCCCAAGTCACAGAAAAACCTAAATCCTAACGATTTCTTTTGAACGTTGAAGTCGCGATGCAACAATTTCTGCTGTAATAATTCATTACTAAATCTTACCCACTAGTTTCATTTCTGGATATATTTTGCCATAACTGATCAATTTGCAAGCTCTAATAATATCTAAACACATTTTACTAACCTTAACCCCTTTGTATATAAACCCTCTTCTTAAACCATGAGGATGTAAATGTGGGTATTCTTCTGTCGAAGTAACTGTTAGGTTATAGTATTTTTTCCAGCCATCATATAACATCTCGTGAATGGGATATACCCCTGAGTGATGCGGAGCAACAGCATAACTGGTGTTGACTGGGATATTGTGTTTCTGTTGAGAAAAATAGATATRAGCTTAGAGCACAGACTGGTACCCAGGTGTTCGTTCTTATAGCCAGGAGTAGATCCTGGGGGGAGTGTTTAGTCACATGACACACAAAAATTGAAAAAGAAAAATAATAGAGAGTAGGCAGTACAAATAGACATACACATTGTAATTTTTTGCTATCTTAGGTTTTGAACTTTTTTTAGTTGATTTTGATTWCTTGTTTTATATGCTACTAACTTTCATCAGGGGGGGGAGGTCTAGGGTGGGGGTAATGGGCTGTCAAATACCCCTCCCTCCTCCTCCCCTCTGCTTTCTTCTATCCAAGCTATATAATTATTCTAATTCTTCACTTCATCAATCACTCCATTTGGTAACCTCTTGGCAGGTCAAGGGCCTTTTTAATGAACCATACCAAGAATTTTTCTACTTGCTCACAGATTAAGGAAATTGAGGAAAACAGGAATCCCACAAAGTAGAAAGAAGAATAGAAAGCAAGAGAGAAACATCTGCTGGGGAGCTTTAGAAAATTCATGTTTATTTCTTCCAAAACCAAAAAATCCCAACACTGTAATCTGACCATTATAAGCACACAAAGCTCAACAAACCTCATTTCACAGTATTTGACAAATGAACATATGCCATTATTTGAATAATTATAATTTATTAAATATTGCTCTTGTTCACCAGTACTTCCCAGCACAATCTTGAAAGGTAGCTGTGCTTTTACATCAAAGTGAAGCAACTGTTGAGCATGCAATGATAGAACCAGTTTCTTTCACACCTACAGACAATTATTTACAGGTATCTATTATTTGCAAGCTCACTGGTTGTCTCRCTTCGATGTAAATGCACCGCTAYCTTTTAAAATGGTGCAGAGAAAGGAGAAGAAGAACATATGGAGTTATGTTTTSATTATTATAAAAGTATAAATAAGTAAGTACCTGTGCAAATTCCAGGTTATTYTYTAACTCTTTCTTTAGGTCCTCWGCATTGGTTATCTGGTGTGGTTTTCGATGAGTCCACATGTGACTGAACCACCAAAACTTGTCTGCATTTTTAATGATTTCTTTGTCACCTTCATCTTCTGCATYGTTGCCTCGAGCTCKCTCAAAGTGGTAACCAGAGTAACCAAGATTGAATTGAAATCCTGGAACTTTGGAWCTTATTCTGTTTTGAACTGAAAKAAGCGCCTGGAATGAAAAAGAAACGAAATGGGATGCGAACTAATGAAATTAAATTTTGTGGGATTTSAATTTTCAGTGATAAGAATGATAAACTCATTTATTGATGTTTGGAACTTTTATAAAAAAAGAAATATTCATTTTATAGAATTAGTGWATACAGTTGAAATGTCACTTTTGAATATGAAAAAGCAATTAGTCTCAAATGGCTTTAAACCACTGCAAAAAGAGCCGCTACAATGTGGGCTGAGAATGGAAACAGCGAAACAGTTATTACTGAAGTTGCTTTTACTCAAGARCTCCCCGTGACAAATTCATTGTGTTTTGGAGTCAAACATGGCTTAAGAAACATCCGGTTCTAGCGAAACACCTCAGAACAATCTGTCACTTCCAAAATAGAATTATCAGCGAGAATAATTGATATGTATGCATAGGTGTTTGCTGTATAAACTGTAAAATTGTTGAAATTCAATTAAAAACTCCCGCTGTCTCTCTCCTTACGATAACGGGATTACAAGAATTCTCAAAAAAAAACTAGCTAGACAAAAACTGTGATGAATGACTAGTACCTGTACATCATGTTTAGTCATTCTCGTSCCCGCTTTTCCTACAAATATATCGTCTACATCGACTAAAAACCATCGGTCCAACGGCTTYGCAAAGGCTCCATTCGAAAGAAAATTCAATGAATCAATAAATAACATTCGGTGTAGCCAAAAACGTACTCCATTTCCAAAATAAACTCTCTTAATTCCATCAAGATCTCCTTTGTCCAGCATAACGGTGGTAACTGTCCGGGAAATAYGTGTTTCCACCGGTTCGTCGTCTTTATCTAAGTCTTGGAAGTTCGTAGAAGTAAATTCTTCTGTTGCAATTTCAACGTACTCGTGAGTGCTGTGATTCGACGAGAAGACGACCCATCTATCAAGGGGGAGCTCTCCTTCTACAATTCCACCAGATCTTGTGATAGTAAACAGCGGAGATGTTGGATTCAATTCAGCATTTTTTAACCTTTTCAGTCCGGTACGAAAGGAGATACTAAGATCTCGTATATTATGCGCAAGTAAATTCTCTTGCCCAGTAAAAAGTACAAGTCCGACAGAATACTCGCGAGTATAGGAATCCACAAGTCTTCTGTTCCGTACTGAAAGATCTGCATAAAATTTCAAGCTTTCAAACACAATAACRCTATATCTAGGCCCATTATTATCTGTCAAAGCAGGAAAAATTGTTCTAGGAGTAATCCACACTACACTATAAGGAATTCGATTTGCTTCAAGAATCGTTGTAATGTCCCAACGAAATACAATCGAAGTATGCTTGTATACAATTAAAACTTTCTGTTTTGTTGCACGACTTAAACTGTCCTGAAGAAACGCTTTCATAGCACTGCGACTGTCTGGGGTTCTTGAGAAATGAGTTCTCGGTGGGAAGTTGCACTTTCGAGTAGAAAAACTCAATGTTATTGTAGAAGGTATTGTTCGTATGGGTTCTGAAGGTCCGCCAACTCGCGACCAAATTAYCCAACATGTTATCACGCTGAAAACAACTGTAGCGAGAAAAAGTCGTCGTATAAAAGATCCCAAGTGGAATCTCCAAATCCTCATAATTCTGAGCCTCCATAAAACCTCATCCTTCGTCCTCGAAAACCCGAGGTACTTGTGAAGAAATCCTTCTGTATATCATTCTTCTCCATTTGAGCATGTGCGTCATCAATGAACACAACATTAGTCCCTACTGGGGGAGGGTCGGGTGATCGCATCTGACCAAAACATAAACGAAATGAAGTTTCTCAGTTATCTAAAAAAGCCGACACAAACAAGCGGTGAGTCAATGGCTTTTGTAGTAAAAATCCCTGTTTTTTTTAATTTGCAATGTTTGGATGGAATTCATAAATAAGGAGAAATTGACAACTCACATCTCCCCCCTGAGGTTTTAAGCGTGCGCAGTGCACTCGATCACCAAATTGATTTTTTTTCTTTTTTTTTTCTTATTCTTTTTCCCCCTAAAATGAGACGTGTCGTGGTAAAATTTAAATGTTGGATCTACTGTTTTTGCATTCTTTATATTATAATTACATTCTTTTTTAATGACAAACTGTTTGTTTGTTTGATGAAGAAGATTGTTCAAGCTGCACTGAGATTCTTAAACAAAAACTGAGCTTTCTTTTGATATTTTGCTCGAAAGTTAAAAGTTGCCAGTTTTAGATGACATTTTCTTCCCCCATGACCACCCCCTAGGGAGATATCGATTGTTCGGCATCTTTGTGATAATTTATCAATGTCAATCGTTCTCAGCTATTCCATTCATTCGATCTCACGCAGACAGGAGGCCACGAAAAGCAGACATAACAGAAATAGAACGATTGATCAAATAGAACGTTTGATCAATACTACAAAGGCATGCGAATCAAAATGGCCTTAAAATCATACATAAGGGCACAATGATCCCCAATGAACATTCAGCACTATGAATGATTAAGCTTCCGTCGCAGTAGGGATCAGCGGAAATGAAAACAGTTTGTAAAGACCATATGGAATCGCTGACTAGACTCACCGGGGGTCCACTGGGTGGAGTCTGACTTTGATAAAGAAAACTGTATGAGTCTGGTGGGGGAAATCTTTGTGCCGTGGTGATGGGCAGTGCATGCCTTAGATATCAAATTTTTGAGGTTAACACACCACGATGTTCTATTGGAGATATCTTAGGAATGTGCCAGAGGGCAGTTTCATTTTTTGAGAAAAAGCAAAAACATTTAGCTTGCAAGAAATTGCTTTGTCTTGCAAGACAAAACAATTTCTTGCAAGCTAATTCTTTTCTTTACTTCTTTAGCTGCTCATTAGGTCTGTATTCGGATTTTGTGCACAAAAATTTATAAATTCTACTATGCCTATAACAAGTCAACGAATTGTTGGTTGACAAGTCAAAGAATTTGATTTTGACTGATTGTCCTCGAAGAAAGTTTGTGCTTCAATGAAATTTTTGAGGTCAGTAAACAATTGAAGCTATTTTATGGCTAATTATTAATTAAAAACTCGTGGACAATCTACTAAAGGAGATTTGAAAATCAACCGCAAACTCTTTCTAATCGATTTATAACGCTTGTAATTTCTTTTGTCGTAAAAATGGAAAGTAAATATATACACGACAACAAAAAGGGCGGGAAAATTAGGCTTCCTAAAGCGCGCGCGCGCGTCTTCTCTCAAAAATTGCAAACGATTCAGTTACGAGAAACTTCGACTTAGAACATTGTTGCTGTTCAAGTTGAGCTTCATTGTTTCTCGTTTTTCATAGTATGCTTTTGTTGCGCGTTAAGTTTTCAGTGCTTAGACAAAAGGAAAACCGAGAAACTTCGACGGCAAACTTGTAGTAACAATATTGCCCTACAAGTTGAGGTTTTTGTATCTCGTATTTCTCTGCCTTTTTCTGAACATCCAAAACTACGTATATCTGCGAAGTTTAGAGTTCGTATACCCTGCGAGCAGAGGAATTTTCCACCCCCTTCTACGAAGAAAAGGAATAGATAGGGGAAAAATTCCTCTGCTCGCAGGGTAGAGTTCGTACAGCGTCTCGTTACTGAATCATTTGCGATTGAATATAAATATTATGCCCATAATTGGCAAAGAATGTATGTGACAGCCATGTTGAAGACGACTCGTTACTCGTGTCCTCCAACTTGGCCGGTGGTACTTCAAGTGTCCGAGAAGAAGGCAAAATCGAATGCTTCCGATCAYTTACTACAATAATACACTTAAAATGGATACATGGATACTATATGAGGCTAAATATCAAATTGATATCGATTTTTTTCATTGCGACTTGGATACGTGACTGCATTTGCATGACGCAATTCTAAATATCTCGGGAACTACAAAACTTTATGATTAAMCCAAACAATGGCAACGTCTTTCCATAATAGTTATCTATCATATATATGACGTATAATCATATACAGCCTTTTGCAAAAATTATGAGAATTGTCGAAATATCTAAATATCATAATATCGAGTGCATGATGGGTAATCCCGCGCGATGCCCTTAGTCCCTTGTCTTTGTAGTTTAGTTTTTTTTTGGCGACGTACTTATCCGTAGTTCTGAACATTTTCTCGATGTCAACAATGAATTATTCTAGCAAACCCGCGTGTTCTGGACAATATATGGATATGGATATTATGATATTTAGATATTTAGACAATTCTCATAATTAGTTTTGCAAAAGGCTGTATGAAATACCTATATTTCCCTATTTTGTAAAGTTGATATTTTCACTAGTGAAAATAACAAAATAACACRTTCGAGGTTTCTCTATATAGTGGAAGTAAGAAAAAAGGTATATTACGACCTCACTCGTGAGAGATCTTTTCAACACTCGAAGATAAAATCCGTATCTCCGCGCGACCATGTAATATCCTCTATTTCTATTTGATCTAAATTTCATATATCGATCTTTTTTGTTGACGTCATGCATATGAAAACGAAGAATAAAAAGCGAGAAAAAAATGAAGCATAAAATAAAATAAAATAAAATAAATATATAAAATAAAATAATTTTTTTTTTGTTTGTAAAGCCACACACGACGTATTAACAGGTGAAGTTGAAAAAAAGTTAAAGAAACGAGTTAAAAAAACGTTGTCATTGCCATGACAATACGTAACAGAATTAACCAAAAACATTTTGATATAGTGCCAATGCCTAAAGCACTAGTAATGTGAAAAAGCATTTTAAACCAGAAAGCGCAATAACAGAGTCGACCACGTGGCATGATGGTGCCCGACACGTTAGGCTGCTATCAGTGCATATAGCCCGGCACTTGTTGTTGAATAATAAAAGCAATTGGGTATAGTTTCAATCTAAGACATACTGTGAGAACTTGGAAAATGGATGTTTTTAAAGCTTCATTTTCGAGGCAGTTCTCGGGCGACTATTTGTTTTTCCGTAATATCCAATTTTCGCGCTGGCATAATGCCCTCAATTGAACTACTCTATATAAATAGAGCTCACCGCCTTAGAAAATTATGTTGTTGAATAATTAAAGCGATACAGCAGTTTAAATCTTGTGTGTTATGCTACGACAGTTGCCTTTGGAAGCTGGATGATGCATGTTTCTCAGAACGGCAAAGTGCAAGCAAACTGCGTTTTCACGCGACTTTTAAATTCGTTTTTCAGAACATCCAGCTTCCGTGAGCAATTATCACAGCAAAAAGCCCTCAATTCAACTTCTCAATTGTTTAAACAGAATGGAATTCTCACYAATTCAGTTCAAATTATCAACATTTTTTTCGTGCTTTTGTGTTTAAGAGCTTCATTACTGAATATGCACTGCAGTGGCGAATCTAGGGGAAGTGGTCCGCTGCACCTGTTGTTTTATTGTAAGGAAAAGACAATTTCTACTCATATGGACAGCACATATAAGTGAAAGCAAGCCAAGTGCAAAATATGTAAACATTGACCCAGGATCCGCTACTTTAGTTTCTGTAATACGAATTAATGTCATGGGCGGATGTCGTTGAGTGAGCGTAGGGAAGCAAATTATTTACCACATAATTTGCTTTCATATGTAATTTTATGAAAAACAGAATCGCTACGCTCACTCGTGAGAGATCTTTTCAACGCCCGAAGATAAAATCCATATCTCCGCGCTCCCATGTAATATCCTCTATTTAATTTGGAGTATGTTGTGAGCAAGAAAGAGAGCGAGAAATCTAGTTGGCAAAGCGTCAAATGTTAATTAGCTTTTTTAATTTTAAAAACTTCATTCTTGTGAAAATTGAAAACAAACGGAAAACTTTGTATGCGTAAAGTGAATGACCGAATTTGTGTAAATGTGAATCTAAGCTCTTGTTTACATGAGATAGGGTGCCCGTACGTTGTATAGGGCTAACTCTTTTGCTTTCTTTTCACTGGAGGTTTTGAAAAAAAGGATTTTGGCCCTAACACTAGGGGAAACCTATGTTATGTTAACAGTTTCTAACTGGATGGCARAAGATTGTAAATAACCTCCATTAAGTGTCATTACTAATGATGGATTGTTGTTTCTCAGTTTTAATCCAGTTCGCAGTTCAGTGYGATCAACAAATGAAGTTCCATTGTAATTTGCAGCCAATCAGAACTAAACGACCCCTGCCAGTCAACCAAGATTCATTTCGAACGTTGACAAGACCAGGTGCCACACAAGTACTGTTTTGGGCTGCATTGGTTGTTCGTGGTTAAGTTTCTAGTACTCGYTCAAGTTTTCCGTTACAGAATCCGTACTCCAGGTACGTACATTGTATATACATTTTGATTAATTTACGTCTAATACAACAATATTAAATGTGGCTTAGGTTGTGAAAGAAAAGCCCTGATCCGCGATGAAAATGAAAATTATATACAATTATGAATCATTTTGGGAATTGAAATATCAATATTTTCCCCAAGAATTCATAAATTTGTCCTTTCTACACTCTCATAAAACAATTTCACGTTTCTTCATTCTAACTATTACATACTTTTAATCAAGTTTTGTTTCCACAAGAATTGTACTCAAAAGTAGTAGGTCTTCATGATTCTAAAGGCTGATTTACAAGGTACGATTTGTCGCGCGCGACTTGTAGTATACGATTTTCCTACAAGTCGTAGGATTTTAAGCAGTGGTTCAAAAACCTACTACAAGTCGTAGGTTGCGTACGACTGTTATAGACAAGTCGTAGGGGCATTTAC